CTCCTTTCCTAGCATGGTGTTATGGTTGATACACTGTGTCAACTTGGGGAGTCTAGCGGTTTGGCTAAGTGACTCAGCACTTCTGCATCTTGGGGTGAAAAGAACCTGCATTTACCCTTCTGGGATGCTGTTTATTGTGTTAATTTGAGAAGTTTAGAAGGTTAACTATGTAACCCAGAATGTCCAGGGTGCTTACTTTGTATTCATCCTGAGCCTGTGCAAGAGGCAGGCATGCAGAGGGTGTGGGTGTAGAGGGCGACCCCCATCTCCCCAGAGCGGGTAGACTGCATAAAAAGAAGGAATTGAGGAAGGACTGGCTGCTGGTTCTTCGGAGGAACGCCAGTCTTCGCCTTCAGCTTGGTCGTCTCCTGGCTTCTGGTGCAGGCTGTTGGGCTTCCACCTGGGACTTTTCAGCCTTCTAGTGTTGGCTCTCCCGCCTTCATCGTAGATTCTTCAGCATTCCATGGCAGACCCATCAGCCTTTTGATACGGACTTGCAGGGACACTGCAGTGAGCTCCAGGCCCGGGGCTGGGCTCTTCAATCTCCAGCATGCAGACACCCTCTGCACGCTTCCTCATCCAAATCTGTAGCTGACCATTGTAAGCCAAACTTGTAATTTCTTGTACATTTATTTATCTTGTATTATTTCTGTTCCTCTAGTAAACCCTGAATGATACACACGGGAAGAGTAGAGAGGGCCTCAGAGCAGAGGTCATTAGAGTAAGGGCCAGAAGAGACAGGCAGAGGTGACTGGCCAAAGGGCAGGCCATCTCATAAGATCACAGGTAACCAAGATATTTAACTGTATTTAAAGCATGTAACAGACCTAAAGCAGAGACCAGACGCAAACAGATATAAGATTGACTGAAATCTCATAGGAACTGTACCGCCAAAGATGAAAGTCCGCTGACTCAGTTGGGCTGCAAATTTTTTTTTTTTTTTTGGTTTTTCTCTGGTACCGGGAACCGAACTCACGACCTTGTGCTTGCCAGGTAGGTGCTTTTGCCGCTGAGCTAAATCCCCAGCCCCTGGGCTGCAAATTTTTAATCACTAAGGCAATTTCTGGAAACCAGACCTCCACATTAATGGGAAGAGGGTTGCCAAAGCTGTTTGGTCCCAGAAAGACCACCTTCAACCAAGAACATCTCACAAGTGGCCACGAAGGCAAGATCATGAGCCAGGCACACCATAAACAGGAGAGACCTTCCCAGACACAAAGTTCAGCGCTATAAGACAACCTAACCATTTTCGATCTTTCTGCTGCAGAGCAGCATCTACTGAGATTCTCTCCAAATTCTCCTTCCTGTAAATGAGAGTACATGTAGTATTTAACCTCCTTCTTCTTCATCACTGAATTCTGGATGGTCACTGATAATTTTTCTCTGAGCCACACACATGGGACCATGAAGAGGCAAATCTGGATGGAAGGTGAGGGCTGTTCAATTGCTAGAAGTCCTGGATTTGTACTCAGGTGTGCTAAGTGGATGAAATTCCAGGGTCCTCTGAGGAGGAACTGAATGCTTTATTACAACGTCAGCAATTTTAGGCTTCAAGTAAAAAGAGTATGTGCTGTTACACAGACAGGTGTGGTGCCCTGTAACTCATCTATCAGTTATTTTTCTCTCCTTTACCTTGTGGACAACAGAGGAGTGTGAACACACAGGCAGTGCACACACTCCAGCTGTTGGCATGAACCCTCCCCTTCTCCGTGACTGAAGGACACACAGCCAGAGCCTCGGCACAGATAAGTGATGACCTAATCCAACAGCTTCAGCTCCCTTCCCCTTGCCAATGTTGGTTCATAGAGGGCTTGTGTCTAGATGTCCCCCCAAAACCTCATATAGTCTGAGATGGGGTTTTTTCAGAGGTTGCTGGATTGAGAGTGTATAAATAATTCATGGTGCAAAGCAGGATTAAGGATGCTAAGATTAAGGATGGGTGACTACTGTATCAGTCTACTGACTGGTTTAGCACCCCTGTAATCCTGGTACTTTGGATACAATATAAGTGACAACGAGGATTGTCTTGTCCCTTGTTACTTTGTTACCTTCTGCCTGCCATGGACTATTTCTCCTCTGTGATGTGTGTCTGTCATGCCACTGTGCCTTGGAGCCAGCCGATGATGGACTGAAACCTCTACAAACTGTGAGCCAAATAAACCTTTCCTCCTTTCACTTTGGCTGTTGGGTATGTTTTCTCAGCCACAAAAGAGAAGTAACTAAGACAGCATGTAATTAATTATGGCCAACAAATTCAAGGGAGTCTGCTGTGGGGTTCCACAGAGGCTTCCTCATCACTTTAAAAAGCCACATAGGAACGCCATCCCTCTTCCTCCACGGCAGGCTAATTCTCAGTCGTCAAGCCTGCAGGCAATGCCTGCACCTGAGCTGCCACACTGTGGCTGTGAAGTGAGCTAACCCATGGCTGGACTGGCATATGGAGGCTGACACTGCTGAGCCCAGAGAGAACCCAGATGCTGGTGAGGCACAGAGGGAGATCTCTGCAGCCACCTCCCTGTGGACTTTTCATTCCATGATAATACAATTTCCTTATTCTTCTGATCCATTAAGTTGGTTTCTGTTGTTGTTACTTATTGTTGAAAACAATCTAATTAATAGAAAAGATAAAATCTGTCCCAGACTCTTCTAATTGCCCAAACTTTGTCTATCTCTCCCCTCTACCTAGCTAACCAAACCGATTTTGTTCAAGGGAACAACGTGTCTAGGCCAAGATAATGGATATAGATTAGCCAATGGTAACTGCCCTGTCCCCTTGTTTTATAGTAGCCTTTGCAATTAGAAATGGTCAAATGTCTCAGCTGGATGCCAAATTTGACAGGATGCAGTTTCTGGGAAAGGTGGGTTTTCCTGATACTGAGTAAGATCCAACTGAGAGGGATCCTGACCCTTTCCTCCATTTTGCCAGCCTCAAATGCAGATAAGAGCAGCCATTCAGTAACCAAAAGGCAAATGCCAAAAAAATCACAGAGATGTAACCTTAACACTGCTCAGTTACTGAATAAACACCAATACACCCTACCTGTTAGAAACAATTCTCTCCTTCTTTATTTATTTTTTATTTATTTTTTTTTTTTTTGCGGTACCGGGGATTGAACTCACGACCTTGCACTTGCCAAGCAGGCTCTTATGCCACTGAGCTATATCCCCATTCTCTCCTTAAGTCACTGGTACTTGGGTAATCAGCTAAAATCCACTTCTAAAATTTACGACCAAGTCCAAAAAAGTGAGAACTAAATATCACAGCCTTTTTTTTTATTCAAACCCAAGTAACTTTATCTGACTATAAATAACAAATCGATATCAGAACATTTGATGTTCAAAACCTTTCTGTTTATATCTAGGATACATGTTATTCTGTTTTATCATACAAAAACCAAGTGCAGAGAAGCTTATTTTCCTGAGATTATTCAACATAAAGCTAGAGCTAACGCCAAAAGGTATTTCCATAAACACTATGCTATAATCCTTCCTACTTACCACTAAGAAATCACCCCTTTTCTACTCTGGTATTGGTTTTCTTTAAGAGTAATTTTTTGTATGTGTGTTATATTAAGCAAACATCAAGATGATTTTTTGGGGAAAGGAAATATAATAAATTTGGTCTTTTTCAGAGAAATTTAATTTTACTAAGATTTTTTGCTTATACCTGATAAATAATTACCAAAAAATTCTATCTGGTAGAATTTTATTATGGAACAACTTGGATTGGGGTAGAAAATGAGAAGTTTGTACCATACTATGTGTGATCAAGGCAGATTAAATATTTTTGTTTGTTAAGACAGAAATTACCTTGGGAGTGAAGTAGTAAATATAAATGATGCTATTAATTTAACTGCTCATCTTCACAACTATGACAGCTTTGGCTACTGCTGATTAACCAGGCATGTAATATGTTAAAAGTGCTGTATTACACAATTTGATGTTTCACAGATAAAAGTTGCTTTTGCAAGAAGGCTCTTTTTCTGAGTATGGTAATAATAAAGCCAATGTTATACCTAAGGCAAAATACCAAGATCCTACAGATTTCCTTCTGTGCTCATGCTTTAAAAGGAAAATATAAAAAGCTGTATGCCCTTAAGCATATTTCTTCCTGTGGGTAGATGTTAATACATAATGTTGTGAACAACACGTATCTTTGTGAACAATAGATATTGTGAACAATACATTATGAAAGCAAAGTGTCAAGTTAAAAACTTAATTACATTGTTGATAAATTCTATCTAAAGACCTTTTGAAAGTAGTACTTTCTCCAGTTTAAAATATTACCCTAATTAAATCATTCAGGAAAAACTGAAGTGCAAACACAGTCCACCTGATCTTGAGAGTCATCACAATGAATTCCTGTTTTTGAGTTCCAACTCATAAACACATAGTAGTAAAATCACCATGCTAGTGATAAGTAAGCTTTCAGTACTCTGTGAATCCATCTCAATATTCTGCACAAAACAAGTACCATGTTTCCAGAATCTTTTCCTAATAATGAAATTATTTATACTTATTTCTTGTTGTATTTTTCTTTCTTTCTTTCTATCTATCTATCTATCTATCTATCTATTTATTTATTTTTGGAGACAGGGACTTGCTGTGTAGGTCAGACTGGCCTCAAACTCTCGATGATTCTTCTGCCTCAGCCTTCCGAGTGCTGGGATTACAGGCATGTGACACCACACCTGGCTATGTGTTTTATATTCAGTACTTTTATCTTAGTGAATCCTCAGGAGCCCTGATGCTGTATACCACGAGGCCTATGTGATAGCAGAGAAAACAGGTTATGAGAGGCTGACGTTTATAAAATATTTGAAAATGTTCTATTATAATCAAGTTCAAGAACCATTTAGCATGTTTGTGCTTTGCCCCTTTACTTACAAACTGGGCCAGTATGCAGCACCTAACTGTTCAGAAAAGGCCAGCAACTGAAAGAACAGATGAAAACATGGGTGCTTTTTATATACAGACTTACTAATATGAACATGATTTACCTTGGACATGAGAAATGATGAACAGATAGGCTCCCAATAATCTGATGTAAATACAGGGCTGAGTCATTGTTCAATTTTAATGTTCCATGCACTGTCACTGTGGATAACTGTTATTCCACAAATTCAAACTTTACTCAGCGAGATTTTCTTGTTGAGGTCACAATCACTTGACAATGACTCCACCTCCTACTGCTTCCTCTTGACTCCTGCAAGATAGAAATATTAATAAGGCAATGAACATAACTAACTGGATTTTGGAAAGTCTTCAAAGACTAAAAGAGGAAAGAAAACAAATGCCCAACCCAAGCACACCTTTAAATGAAATGAAATGAAATACATTTTTAAAGATCAAAGCTATTTTTGTTAAAAACAAAAGCAAGGCTCTGTAATTCCAACACTTAATTTAGTAACGGGTTACAACCTTTCCTGATCTCAGATAGCAACAAATAAAACAACAGTAATATACTAATAATCTCAACAGGCAGTGCAGTGTCACGTATCAGTATCCAAGCTACTTAACACGCTGAGGCAGGAGAATTGCCTGAGTATAGAAGTTGAATGCCAGCCTGGGTGCACAGCAATATCATCACTCCAAAGACAGACAGACACCCGCCACACACACACACACACACACACACACACCAAAAAAAAAGGAAGGAAAGGAAAGAGAATCCCTTCAAAAGTCTTTTTCTAGCTGCTCTAAAATAAATAAGTTATTTTCTTACTATCAAAAATGCCCAGCTGGGTGTGGTGGCACACACCTGCAATCCCTGCACTCAGGAGGCTGAGGCAGGAGGATCACTGCAAGTTTGAGACCAGCCTGGGCTACAAAGTGAGCTCAAGACCAGCCTGAACTGCATCTGAGACCCTGTCCCCCCACAAAAAAAAAAAAGTGTCCCTTAATATAGTTAGAATAAAATAGGAAAAGGTTTAATTTAAAATGTAAGTTATTAGCTGGACATGGTGACATACCTGTAATCCCAGCATTAGGATGAAGATTCCAAGTTTGGGCCCAGCCTAGGCAATTTACTGAGACCCTGTCTATCTACAGTACAGGTAGACAAACAAACAGATTGATCTGGGGACTACAGCTCACTGGTGGTATACTCCATGTGATTCCTAATACCACTATAAAGTTATCAGTATTCATTCAAATCCTAGTGGATATAATAGAAATACCTTGAATACTTCTAACAATTTTCCGATAGAAAAGCAACCTAGAAAACTATACATATTTAAATAAGTAGCATACATCATTATCAAGGAAAAGATAAAAAGAAATGGTCTTAAGTAAAATCAGTTTCCTAAAACTGCTAACCTGATTTAATTGGGATAAAACTGAGCTTTTAATATGGAAGACATGAAACAGAGGTCTCCCATTAAGGTTTGGCTATTATTAATACGGACAGGGACCATTAAAGGTCTCAAAGTAACAGGAAAAGAAGGCTAGTTGGCACCAAGATGGAGATAACTCTATTTTTCACCCACCCTAGTTTTTCAAGCAGTTGGTTTTTTTGCAGGGGTGGGGGTTCCGGTACCAGGAATCGAACTCACAACCTTGTGCTTGCCAGGCAGGTGCTGGGCCACTGAGCTAAACCCCCAGCCCCAAGCAACTGGTTTTATTGATCTCACCTGAACTAGCCCTGAATAGGTTTTGCTTCCATATGACACAATTACTTCCAGTGTGACTTCTAAAACAAACCTAAGCTTCGTAGCCAAGAGCTTTTCACTTTATTAGCTCTCCAACAGTATTTACAGTTTAGAGGTGAACACTGTTTACAGAGAGGTATCATTTATAAGTGTACTTTATACATAAGGCTTAGCTCTAAAATCTTGGCAATTTCTTTCTTCCCTACTACAAGAAAAGTAAGTGGCTTCCCATCACCACTTAATGCTCAGAGGATGAGATGCAAAATCTACAATAATTCCAGAGTGAGGTCTGCAATCTGACTTTCCCGCATGCCTATGGAAAACTCGCCTCTTGCAATGACTCATTTGTGATTCTAAGGATGCTTGTTCCAGGTCTGGAATTCAAGGGGTGTTTCCAGTGTTCCCAGCCCCAACCTCTCCCCCTTTCTAGTTCCCCATTGCATACCTCCTCCAGGCACACCCTCCACCTGCAAGCCCAGTGCAAGGCCTCCTCCCCACTCCAGGCCTGCTCCTCCTGCTCCTGCCACACAGTCCTGTGCAGGGCAGCTCCTCTCCCCAGCCTCCCTCCCTCTCTGGGCTCCCTGCTACTTCCACTCCACATAGTCCCGCCCTCCCTCACCACCCACAGCTGAGGGTGACTACTCAGTCTCTGCTTCAAGGAGCTCACGGTCTGGGGTGGAAGAACGGATTCCGCCTACTCACTGTCTTTTGGTGTCCCTGTTCCTTCATCCATTTATTTACAGTTAATGTCTGGGTTTGGCTCTCACTAGCGTTACCAAGGCATCTTACAGAGCAGGCCAAGAGACTAAGTGCGTGCCATACCCACAGCCCCTTTCAGAGAACTGTCTCTGTGTGATTCCTTCTTGAAAGAAGTACAAATGCTGGATCTGCCTAAGTACCAGAATCTCTCTGGATGACTTTCCCACCTTTACAGCCAGAATATATTTGTTAGCCTACAGTTCTTTTGAAAACTAGGTGAGATGTGCCAATCTCACTAGATGTAACAATCAACTCTATGTGCCAATTCCACAGTAAATTCATTGCTAATATTAACCTACCTTATAAGAAAAGTACATTTTAATTTTAGAGGTGAGGAAGCAGGCAAGTAGACTTTAAGGAACTTATCAAAGACCACAATGCTAGTAATAGGGCTATAACTCAAAAGAAGTCTGATTCCTGACTCTTAACAGCTAACTTACACTGTCCTGCAGGTAATTTACATATGTGATATGATATGACACAAAACATACATGACAAAGTACTTAAGAGTGTGTGGTACAGAGTGTGTACTCAGTACAAGCTCCCTCTTCTCAAACTGTCACCTACTTGCCAATCTGGCACAGGGACAGCACCTGGAACAGCCATCAAATCTTAGCTTACTACAGATCCACATTTACAACTGCTATGACACAAGCACAATCCTTCCAAGCACTCACAGAAACATGCTGCTATAATAAAGAGGGAAGCACCTCACTTGATCCCATCTGGTGAGGCCTCTAAAGAGAAAAATGACAAAGGACACCAAAACCACTCCCCTTGAGACACACCTGAAAGAACCAGGACCTCTAGGGTAAAAAGGAGCAAAAAGGGAGCAAAGTTCCACAAGCATCTTTGACAAGGATGCCAAAGACAGAAAAGGAGCCTAGACTGATTAAATGATATAGGGTAGGTCTTTTCCAATGCTCAAGTCCTTTGTGAACAATGCTCTTGCCATTTAATATTAATTTATTCCCTAATCATTAAATGCTTACTTTATGCGTGTTTTTTTTTATCAGATAACAAGAATATAGTGATGACATACCCAGTCCTCATGAAATTCATAATCATTAAATGAGACAATTAAGAGATACTGACATGGAACGAGACGATACAAACAAAACATAACTTGTGGTAAGTGTGAAGAAAGAAAAGTGCTAGTCCTGGAGGGAGCTGTTTCACTCTCAATGGAGCGCGAGGGGACAATGCTGAGAAGTGACATTTAAGTCAGCCAGGCAGAGAATGGGTTGGGCTGGGGGAGTTCCAGGCATAGAAAACAGCCTGTGCAAAGATCTTGAAGCAGAGAAAAGCAAAGCAAGAAGGAGATCCTGAAATGTTAAGAACAAGGGATAGTGTGGAGGAATCTGACCACTGCCACCCTGCTCTTAGCAGAGGCCACTGTAGCTAATCCCTTCCCCCACTATGCTTTCACACTGGCTGCAGATGCTTTTCATGGGTCGATAAGGCCCAGTAAGCACAGCTATACCCTGTAATTCCTCATCATTGCTCAGCCCTGCTCTTGACAAACAGCACGCAACTCCTTGTACGTCCTCAAGCCCGGTCCTGGACAAAGAGCCACAACTCCATTGCACTGAATTCCCCCAGCCCTCAAAGTCCCACTGAGATTTTTTCCTTCCACATCCCCCCTTTTTATGCTCATGACCCTATAAAGACCTTACAGTCTGTATAAAAGTAGCCAGTCTGATCTCTAATGCCAGAGCAGTCCCTCAAGTTTGTTCTGAAATAAACCTGTCCCGTTGAGCTCCTACTCTTGCTTCTTTTCCTTTTTGTCCTAAATAGTGTGGTGGCAGATGAGGCTGAAGGGACAGAAGAGACAAGGACAAGGTCCTAGGCAAGATCCTAGAAGGGTTGTGTGTTTAAACCTCAGTAGGGTGGGAGGCAATCATCTGGTTCCTATGTAATGGACAGGACTATGCAGGCAAGAGCAAGGCCAGTAAGAAGAGAGTGGCAGGGGGTAGGGGGGTGGTCAAAGAACCCCCCTACATTTCTGGAAATGAGCAATTACTAAAATGAGAGGACATGGGTTTTCAAAAGGTGGAAGAGGAGGGATCAAGGGTTCAAATTTGGGTATCTGAGATTACTCAAAGGAAGTAATCTACTAATAGGCTTTTGGTTCTAACATTAAAAGAAATACCTGGGGCTAAAGATATAAATCTGTTATAGCAACAGCATAGAGTATTCAAAGGTAAGGCTCTGATGACATGGCCTTCAAGAAAAGGCTCCAGAAACACCATTCAGTTAAAAATCACATTAATCAGGGATTTAGCATCACATGTGACAATTGTGTGACAATTCATGGATAAAATAAGTTTGTAGTTCAGATCCACCATGCTCAATATTATTGCCGTTTATATTAACACAGCTGGGAAATAAACCATCATTCAAGCGATTGGTGTTTTGTTTTGTTTTCACAAAAAAAAAAAATTTGTTTTTTCACTAAAACCAAACAAAACAAACAAAAACATCATTGTGGTGACCTACAACAGGTCCACAGATGCTTTGACTCGACCTTCAAAAGGTGGTGGTAAGTCCTTCCCTGACTGGGCATTGGGCTCAGCAGCTCACTTCTAACAAATAAAACAGTATAGGAACAATAGAGCAACTTCAACCTCTGCGCCTAGGTAATGAAAGGCACTCTGCTTCCTCCTTGCTCTCTTCACCCTCTACCTCAATGGAGGCCAGCTGCCACGCCAGGCCAGGAATACACTCCTGTGCCCCACTAGAGGGGGTTGTGTGGCAAGGAGCTACACCACCTGGGAAGTGGCTCCTTCGTCCAGGC